AAACAAATTACCAAGCAAAGAACAAACAACTCCATTAAAAAGTGGGCAAAGTTCATGAACAGGCACTTTTCAAAAGAAGATATACATGTGGCCAATAAACATGAGAAAATGCTCAACATCTCTAATCATTAGAAAAATGCAAATCAAAGTCACAATAATATACAATCTTACATCAGTCAGAATGGCTATTATTAAAAAGTCAAAAAAATAAGACATGCTGGAAGGTTGCAGAGGAAAGGGAACACTTATATGCTGCTGGTGGTCATGTAAATTAGTTCAGCCATTGTGGAAAGCAGTGTGGCGATTTCTCCAAGAACTTAAAACAGAAGTACCATTTAACCTAGCAATGCCATTATTGAGCATATACCCACAGGAACATAAATCGTTCTATCACAAGACACATGCACACATATGTTCACTGCAGCACTATTCACAATAGCAAAGTCATGGAATCAACCTAAATGCCCATCAATGGTAGACTGGATAAAGAAAATATGGTACATATACACCATGGAATACTATAGCCATAGAAAAGAATGAGCTCATTTCCTTTGCAGCAACATAGATGAAGCTGGAGGCCGTAATCGTCAGCAGATTAATGTCAGGGAAAAGAAAACCAAATACTTGTTCTCACTTATAAGTGAGCGTTATAGGGAGCTAACCTTGAGTCCACGTGAACACAAAGAAGGGAACAACAGACACCAAGGCCTACTTGAGGGTGGAGGGTGGGGAGAGGGAGAGTGTCTGGCTTTGAAAATGATTTCTTTGGGAAACTGAAAATAAGAACTGTTTTTTGTTTTGTTTTGTTTTACCATAAAAGTCCCAATTTCATTAGGTGTGGGAAATTTCATGGTGAGGCCTGTCTTTTGCTGTGAACTTTGTCCCAGTGTACTTGTTCTTCTATTTTAAAAAGGTGATTTCCTACTTGAACTTGATTCTCCTCTTTTAGCAGGAAAGTTCTCTTGTGTGTGGGAAATCTTAATAAAAAATTTTGTTGTAAAACCATGGAGAAATAATAATAATTATTTCTTTATAATTTGTCTGTTCTTTTTTGTTGTCTAATTTCAAATTATGAGAATCAGGCTTTGAATCTCAAACATTTGGTTTCCTAAGTCTTTTTAAAATGTTTAAAAAAATTTTTCAGAATAGTTTTGTCTTTGCAGTTCCTATATTTGATAATTGCCAAATAAACATTATTTTTACTTAAGCCTATAACATTTATCAACAATTCTCTTTTTATTGCATTAAACCAAAAATTATTTATTTCAGTGTAATATAGAAGAAAATGATTGGATTTTGAAATAAGCAGAGAGAGTATAGGAGATAATTAGAATTGGATTAGATTCATTCTTTTCCAGAAATGCTCTTAGAAAGTACTATAATTTATCTGCTTTTGCTGAACTGAATACTAGAGCAACCCCTGGGCCAGTTACTCCAATGGCTTGCTTTTCTGCTAATCTTTAACACAGTTATTGCTATGAGTTCAGCTTTCCATGAAAGTATTTGGAAGTCCACTAATATAGTAAAGAAACTAAATTGTTAAATCCAACATTTACTTAAATTGGTTAGAAATGTTACATATTTAACTTTCTGTCTGAGAAAAGTTCATGCCTGGTGAAAAAGGACAATTAAAACTATGTATATAGTTCTGTAAATGTTTTTATACTGTTAGAGAATGGCTGGTGTTACTCTTGTTAAGTACCTTATTTGCTGGATTTTCAGTTATTTTTGAACCAGATATATTACCTGATGATTTGCTCAATTTTCATTAAAAATAGGATCATTAGCATATTAATTTCTTTGTTATATTTATACACAATATTTTAATGATCAGTGTGAACTGCCTCAGCAACCCGATTTGCTCTAAGAAAATGAGATTTGTGTTTACAGTGTCGGCTATAATCTGATTTTCAGTTTGTCTGAACCCGGTATTGAACACAATTTGAAGTTCACAACTCAATTCTCTAGAGGTTCAGCAGAACATAGAAATGAAGTTTGGGGCATACAATCGTAAAGAGATTTGGCTGGTAATGTGAATTTTTCCACTTTAAAATTTTTCAGGTTGGGCACGGTGGCTCACACCTGTAATCCTAGAATTTAGGAAGGCCAAGGCAGGAGGATTGCTTGAAGCCAGGAGTTCGAGACCACCCTGGGCAACATTCCAAGACCCAGTCTCTATAATAAACTAAAACAATTAGCTGAGTGTGGTGGCTCATGCCTGTGGCCCCAGCTACTCCGGAGACTGAGACAGGAAGATTGCCTGAACCCAGGAGGTTGAGGCTGCAATGAGCTATGATCACACCACTGAACTCTAGCCTGGGCCGCAGAGTGAGGCCCTGTCTCTAAATGGTATTAAATTGATAAACAAATAAAGGAAAAGAATAAATTTCTCAGAGGCCAATAACACTCCTCCCATCCCCTCACCTCCAACCCTGGATACTTAAAAATTTCTTGTTACTAAGATGTCCCTAACACAGATTAGTCTATTCATACCTTTGGGCCAAATTTCCTCCCCACTTCTAATTTGGTAGTAACCTAGACCTGAGTCAAGATCAGCTTCTTGTAAAGATGGTTTTGCAGGGTAATATGACCCTTGATGCTTACTTCTTCGATGGCTGGTCCTTGAATATTTAGAGGTGATAGGCTCAATTAATTATTAATACCAGCTCCTGCTCTGCTTGTTACTTTATCTCCACTGAGAGGCCGCTTTCATACTGAGGGCTACTCAGGGCATTAGCCAGGGGAAACTGATCTAGAAGTTGACACACGGCTATCAGGAATGTGATGAAAATTTCTCTCTCTCTCTCTACTTTCCTATAGTGAGACTGGGATATCTCATTCCCAATATCCCATGAGATTAAGACAATCTTTGGTCAAATAAAGAGATGGAAACTTGGTTAGCATAATAACACAGGAAAATTGTGGAGATGACAGTTTATCTTGCAGATGGTCCACTCTTAACAAAGGGAAGGATTTAAAGCTTTCTCCTACAAATACACGGTAAGAACATGCTAACCCTCAGTCTCACTATAGGGTCAGGGGCAATGGGCCCTTCATGAGTGCAACAGGGACACCTAGGCCAGAGAGATAGAAAAGATCAGGGAAATCATGGGTTTTGGAGGTGAGAAAAAGGAGGGACCAGCAAGAAGGGATTTCTGAAGTGGATTCTGTAGGGACTGAAGTGCACCCTATGGAAATGATAAAGAGGTATTTTTAACTACTTTCTGGGGTAGTGTACATTCATGATCAGTAAGTTGGTTTCATTTCTGATATAGAACTGCACCTGTACATACTTGTAGCCATTGTAGGCAAAACTGAGGTTAAATGGTTAAATACAAATATGGGAAATTCTTGCCCTGGTTGAAAAACCGAAGCCACTGATAAGACCCATGTTTTTTGGGTTTTTTTTTTGGTGGTGGAGTAGCAAACCTCTGAAGTCAATATCAACAAGTTTTCTTATGTGAGTCAAGAACTCAATTAATTCCTTTTTGTTTTTGAAAAATCACATTTGGAAAATGTGTTTTGTAGATAGTCGGGATCCGTAATCAGATTATGCAATAGGTAAATAGTGTAGAAGACTCATCCCAGATTTCAAGGAGAAATTCTCCTTCTGGGGATTGTCTATCAGTCTGGGAGCAAAAGTATAATAGGTCTGCTTGAAGCCATCCCTAAGCCAATGTGGCCTAAAATGTAGTTTCTGGAATAAATTCATCAGGAATACCACATGTATTTATTAAAATGCATATCCCTGGACCCTAAACTAGAGGCCAGGAATATACATTCTTGCTGATTACTCATGCTCAGTATGTCTGAGAACCTCTGCTAAAGCAATGCTGATCAGGTTTACCCCACGTTCACCCACTTCCCTTCTCCCATTTCCCATCTCTCAATACAGTCAGCTTTACTTTAAGGAGATCCTTGTGTGTCTGTGAACTTCTGGATGGTGAAAATGGTGATTCTCATGTTTGCTGTGATTTCTAACATCTATAATTGTGCCTTCCAGATACAAGAGTATTTGATGAGGATTTGTTGAACTAGTTGAATTAAATTGAGAACTAGCATTACAGTCATACTCATGAGACAGCTAGAGCTATTTGCCTGAGTCCTGCTGTACCAGAACAGTAAGAACTAAGGACCGAAGTCTTCCTCACAGTTAGTGCCTAGCTGCTCCCTTTGAGTGGGAAATAGTTTATTTGAGGGGGTTGAGTGGAAAAGGAATATGATCTGATTTCTTTTATTCCATTAATTACAGGGCAGATTTCCGCTGCCCATTCTCCATTATTCCTGCCAGTGTTTTGCACTGTTCACAGCACATTGGTACAATCATAACAGAAGATTGTATTTTGCTTTGGTTTTAGTCTTGTTCCTAAGGGAAAAATCAGTGTTGTGTTTTTTCCCAGGGAGATGCTGTACCAGGACACTTTTCCCAAAGGACTGCAGCTTTGAGTCACCCATTTTTAATTTTTTTTATTGCTTTAGTTTTATTTCCTTTCTATCCTTGCTAATGTTAATAAAATGCATGCCATAAAGAAATCAACTCCTAAGGACATGAAAGGACAGACCTCATGGCTATTTACTCTGCTGACGGCTCCTGCTCTTTAGCTCCTGCTAAAGACCCGCGCATTCACCAGTTTGAAACTGGCCCTCTGCGACAGCTTTCTGTTCACAATAGAGCTGGCATACTAAACGGGGTCGGCGCCGCCCCTCCCTTGCAGTGTGACAAATCTCTGGTAAGAGGATAATGCTAAATTCTTTCACCATCTGTCTAGTTTTGTTTTCTTCCCTCCCCTACTGCTACCAGAAATGTCTAAAAACATAGTATTCTACAGCTGCGTGGTTTACGTGACGATTGCTGTCCGAAGGGAAAACATGCAGTGTTTGCTCCTGAACATTTCCTTTAATTTGTTTCCTTCCAATACAAACATTATAGTATACAGTCAAACGCATGAACTTGAACTTGAGTTTGTCACCTAGGACACTACTTGGGATCGGACTTTACCTGGATGACACTTAATAAACTTTTATTGTTTTCTTACTGGGAATCTTTACAAATTCTCATCAGAGACCACAGGAGGGATGTCATCAGTAGAGAAAACTGGGGCTTCTGGTAAACATCCTAGAGGGTCCTTGACCTCTTGGGGAGGATGGGGACTCCGCTCAGCTTCCAGCTGCTGAATCTTCCTTTCCTTTTCCTCCAAAACTTCTTTCAGCTGAGTGATCCTCTCAGTCTGAAGGGAAACCTGGGTCGACAGTTCCATTATCAGGCTAATTTTTCTATCACCTTCTTCCACAGGTGGGAGACCTCCACAGAACCCTTCCAGCGAGCTGTCTTCTAAAGCAAACAAGAAAAGGAAAGTCTGAGAAGTTTTGATTAGATTTCCCAGAAGCTGAAGAGAGGAAAAATGAAAAAGCTTCATTTCTCACGTTCTTAAAAGAGAGCACAGATGTTGCGTCATCTGGTTAGATACCCTGAGAATAAAATCTGGATCCAGTGAGAGGAAAGATTCTGGGTGATCATGAAAAAAGAAACAAAATAAAACTTGGGAGCCTCTTGAGAGTGTTCAGAATCAGCCTTTGCCAACTCTCGTTTATATGCATTTAACTTTCAATTAACCATGGGAATGATTCATCCATCCATGAAAATCCAATCTACAAACAACAGCCATCCCAAATTTCATGTTATTCTTTTCCCTCAGAATCTTTCACAAGAGCTATGATCAAGTAGAATTATGCTTTGATTTGAATTTTAATTCAATTAAAATAAAAAATGAGATTTGGGCACAGAGGCTCACGCCTGTAATCCCAGCACTTTGGGAGGCGGAGGCAGGCAGATCACAAAGTCAGGAGATGGAGACCATCCTGGCTAACACGCTGAAATCCCGTCTCTACTAAAAATACAAAAAATTAGCCAGGCGTGGTGGCGGGTGCCTTTATTCCCAGCTACTCGGGAGGCTGAGGCAGGAGAATGGCATGATCCTGGAAGGCAGAGTTTGCAGTGAGCGGAGACCACGCTACCGCACTCCAGCCTGGGCGACAGAGCAAGACTCCGTCTCTAAATAAATAAATAAATGAATAGCGAAAAGTTTGCCATGCCCTTTCTGGGGCAAGCGATAATGAAGACAGACCAGTTTCTTAACCCAAGTCAGCTTTAAAGTCGGCAAGGGTGCAATTTGAGGTGATCCAGGAAAACTATTAGCATGGTATTTCCCATACAGATTCATTTCTTTTAGGCCTGAAGTCTTTTTGGCACTTCTTAATAAAATCACAAATACCTCTTGGACATGAAAGCTTATCCTTTATCAATTTCTATCAGTTAACCCCTCAGATGAGGATAAAGGCCTGAGTAATTAAGGACAGAGGTTCCAACAAAGAGATAAAAGATGAGTGGCCATAAGGAGTCCTTGAAAACACACCTCTCTAGCCCATCAAAAAATGTAGCTCCTTAAACTCAAGTCCATCTTACTAGCCTTTAGCAGTACCCTACCACTGTAGAAATTTCCAGCATTAAATGTCTCTGAGCTATATAAAAGGCAGACTTAGGTGTAAGTAGGAAGAGATGTCAAGGGCTTGGGTATCATTTCAGCACTAATGGAGCTAATGGCATGTATGAATGAACCTGATGCATGGTCTCCATGGTAGATTGTTACAACTGAGGTCCTGCATTTATGAGATTCCCAGTGAAAATAAATCTCACGGCTTCACCTGAGAGAAACATTATTGTCAGTCTCAGATACAAAAGCCTGCTATTATTAGGTTCCTACACACCTGCTGAAAATGGACCACCTTTGCTGTAGTAGTGCATGCAGGCAAAAGAGCATAAAAATAACCCATTTCTCAACAAATAAAATTAATTGACAGTCATCACGTTCCCAAGGGATCAAGGTGTAAAATCTTTGGCAGCACATTGCATAGTGGGCAGGGTGCTTTTGGCTTCACAAAAGTGTTAAGAGGAGACAGACATCAAGCTATTCTCTGCTCTTAGAAATTATTGGCACCTTACTAACATTTAAGAACCCGTGGGAAAATTTTTGTTCTGAATTTCTGTTAGAATATTTAAAATTATAACAATATTTAAGATGTTGGTTTGAAGGTGGGGCATGGTGGCTCACGCCTGTAATCCCAGCACTTTGGGAGGCTGAAGCAGGTGGATCACTTGAGCTCAGAAGTTCAAGACCAGCCTGGCCAAATAGTGAAACCTCATCTCTACTAAAAACACAAATATTAGCTACGTGTGGTGGTGCACACCTGTAATCCCAGCTACTCAAGAGGCTGAGGCTCGAGAATCACTTGAACCCGGGAGGTGGAGGTTGCAGTGAGCTGAGATTGCACCACTGCACTCCAGCCTGGGCAACAGAGTGAGACTCCATCTCAAAAAAAAAAAAAAGATGTTGGTTTCAGTACCTTTCATAAGTTAACAAGCAATGGGAAAACATCTCAAATTTCAAAAGAGCATTCAGTTCATTGCCTCTGCGATAAGCCTGTGTTTTCCAGCCTAGGAGAGGGAGTCCATATGGCAGGAGGCCTTTCTCATCTCCAGATATGCCAAGGTCTCACCTTTCCTTTCATTTGGCTGGAGCTGTGCTGTCCAATACAATAGTCACTAGTCACATGTGAGCATTAAGCAATGGAATGTAGCTAGTCTGAATAGAGATGTGCTTTAACGTAAAATACACAGTTGACTGGAAGATTTTAGTTTAAAAAATGTTAAATACTTCAAATTTTCTATATTGCTTATGTATTAACATATTTAGAAAATATTGTATTAAAGAAAATATATTTTTAAAATAATTTCACTGACTTATTTTTATGTTTTAAAAAATGTGGCTCCTAGAAAATGTAAAATACATGGCTTGCATTTGTGGCTCCCATTATATTTCTGTTGGATAATGTGTTGGGCTAGCATTTCCTTCCAGATGAGCACTTTCTGAACCCCAGGTGGATATATTACCTGGAGATGGCTCTAGTTAACCTGCACAGATATTATTTGAGAGGGAGGATTTCTGGTCCTCAACCATTGGCACAGAGATCATTTTTCTGTCACCCCAGAGGATGGAGTCATGGAAATCAAAGTTTGATAAAAAGTGATGACTGCCAATTAATTTTATTTACTGAGGAATGGGTGATTTCTTGCCTGAATGCACTACCACAGCAAAGCTGCACCACCTTAAGCAGGTGTGTAGGTATCCAGGTAGCAGGCTTTTGTATCCGTGACTGACAGTAATGTTTCTCTCAGTCCCTAAGCTACTCCTTAAACTACATAAGAAACTGATTCAGATGGGTTGAAGCGAGTTTCATCAGGAGTGGGAGAAGAAAAATGGCAGCAAAGTAGCCAGGGAAGATGCCAAGAAGGGGAGCAGTGAGCAGCGGGGGATGCAGGGCCTCGGCAGGGGGCAGGGGTGGAGGGGGGTGCATGGGAGCCTCACTGTGCCTGTCTGACATCTTCCTCTTTGACTTCTCCTTCCATGTTTTCTCTCCCCAGTTTTTCCTCTGCTTTTAGAATGAGTTGTTTTTAGTGGATGTATACAATAAAGAAAAAGGAGTTTAGTGCCACCCCTGGTCAAACTGGTCAAAAAGTTTTTAGACAATGCAATATAGGTGGAGTTCATCCAGCTCTAATGATACAGCAGCAAAAATGCAGCAAAGTGGCATTGCATAGGCAGTCAGGGTCACTAGCACCACATCCTCCTTCTGGAAGAGAGTATTACAGCGAGACAGTAGAAAGAAAATGAGAGGAGAAGCGGGTGTCTAGGCAGCTCAGGCTGTTATCACAAAGTACCACAGATGGGGTGGCTTAAACAAGAAACATTTATTTTTTATAGTTCTGGGGGCTGCAAGTCTCAGATCAGGGTGTCAGGATGGTCAGGTTCTGGTGAGGACTCTCTTCCTGGCCACCTTTATGCTGCGTCCTTATTAGAGGTGACAATGTGCTAGCAGCCCTCACTCTCAGCGCCTCCTCAGCCTGGGCGTCCACTCTGGTTGCGCTTGAGGAGCCCTTCAGCCTGCCACGGCACCGTGGGAGCCCCTCTCTGGGCTGGCTGAGGCCGGAGCCTCCTCCCTCTGCTTGCCGGGAGGTGTGGAAGGAGTGGCGCAGGCGGGAACCGGGGCTATGCAGGGCACTCGCGGGCCAGTGCGAGTTCCGGCGGGCAGGGGCACAGGCTCACCGGGCCCTGCACACGGAGCCGCGGGCGGGTGGTGCCCGCCAAGGGCAGTGAGGGGCTTAGCACCCAGGCCAGTAGCTGCCAAGGTTGCACCAGGTCCCCCAGCAGGGCCGGCTCACCAGCACTGCACTCAAATTCTCAAATTCTCACAGGGTTTAGCTGCCTCCCCGTGGGGCAGGGCTCAGGATCTGCAGCCCGCCATGTCTGAACTGCCCCCTGTGGTGGGCTCCCGTGCTGAGCCTCCCCGACGGGCGCCGCCCCCTGCTCCATGGCGCCTGGTCCCATGGACAGCCCAAGGGCTGAGGAGTGCACGTGCAGCTCGGGACTGGCGGGCAGCTCCGCCTGCAGGCCTAGGTGCAGGATCCAGTGGGTGAAGCCAGCTGGGCTCCTGAACCGGATGGGAACTTGGAGAACTTTTATATCTAGCCTGAGGATTGTATGTGCACCAATCAGCACTCTGTATCTAGCTAACCTAGTGGGGACTTGGAGACTTTTTCCCTCTAGCACTCTGTGTCTAGCTCAAGGATTGTACATGCACCAATCAGCACTCTGCATCTAGCTCAGGGTTTGTAAATACACCAATGAGCACTCTGTCTAGCTCAGGGTTTGTAAATACACCAATTGGTACGCTGTATCTAGCTAACCTAGTGGAGACTTGGAGGACTAGCACTCTGTGACTCTGTGTCTAGCTCAAGGATTGTAAATGCACCAATCAGCACTCTGTCAAAATGGACCAATCAGCTCTCTGTAAAATGGACCAATCAGTAGGATGTGGGTGGGGTCAGATAAGGGAATAAAAGCAGGCTGCCTGAGTCACGCATGGTAACCTGCTGGAGTGTCATTCCACCTTGTTGTTTCACTGTTTGCAATAAATCTTGCTGCTATTCACTGTTTGGGTCTACACTGCCTTTATGAGCCATAACACTCACCATGAAGGTCTGCAGCTTCGCTCCTGAAGGCAAAGAAACCACGAACCCACTGGGTAGAATGAACAACCCTGGACACGCTGCCTATAAGAGCTATAACACTCATCACCAAGGTTTGCAGTTTCACTCCTGACAGTGAGACCATGAACCCACCAGAAGAAAGAAGTTCCAGACACATCTGAATGTCTGAAGGAACAGACTCCAGACACACCATTTTTAAGAACTGTAACATGCACCACGAGGGTCTG